AGTCACTGCATAAACTGGGAAAGCATTGTGCATAAAAGGCCTTTCAGAAGAACAGGCTTATCTTTCAAATTAGCATTTTGCAATGACAACATTTAATTACATCCTCTTTCTGAGTGTGTACATCCTCTTTTCTGCCTCAGGACTGAGGTGAGGGATGGGGGGTTGTTGTTTCAGCAGAGTGCATAATTAAACTATTATTGAGATTCCTTGGCACAAAAAGTGTCGACGGCCAGTATTTTGGATGGCTTTAAAAGTGGATTGAACAAATTCATGGAGGAGAAGGCTGTCAGTGGCTACTAGTCTTGATGGCTATACACTGCCTCCAGTATCAGAGGCAGCATGTTTACGTACAGCAGTTGCTGGGGAACATGGGCAGGAGGGGTCCTGTTGGCAGCTGCTGTGCCGCTGTGTGACCAGAATACGGGACTAGATGGACCCCTGGTCTGATCCAGCGTGGCTTTTATTTTGTCCTTATGGAGCTCAGAAGTAAGTGCTCGGGGCCAGCCCTACATTAGGCAGAGTGAAGCAATAGCCCCAGATGGGAGATGTCTGGCCTTGTGGAAGGCCCTGGTCAATCCACACTGAAGAACAGCAGCGTATATTCCAAGCAGCCTGCCCTGCCCCTCTCCAGGCTAATTTTCTGCCCCTTCTATAAATAAAAAAGATTTATTTTTATTTATTTCATTTTTATACCTTAGATGCTGTCCTACCACAAGCATTCAAGGGTCAACTGCTACTCTAGTCAGCTTCTGCAGGTAGAATGGAGGGACAACATCTTGTCCTTCACTCCAGACAGCAAAATGTCTTCAGTCAACACTGGACATGTTGGCACTGCATACGTGTGTAGCTGTGTTTTGTATTTTTGTTCACATTATCCTGGCACTTTAGCTCTAGAATCCATTTTTGTACTAGAAAAAGCAACAGAACTGCAGGCTATCATGGTTGTAGGTTTTTTCTGCCTTCAGATATTTATTTCCATAGCATACTGGATGGGTGACTTAAATGTTGTGAACTGCCCAGACAGCTTTGGCTATGGGTGGTCTAGAAATGTAATGCCACCGCCACCACCACTACCATCATCCAAAGACTTCTGAAATAGCCTGTGGCAGTTAATCCACCAACCCAAGCCAGTAGCTTCTTCACAGCAACAGGTTCTCAACTGGATTCAAGAAAGTCATTCTTAAGTCATCCTTTCAGCATCATAGTTCCTAACAAAACTTGATGTTAAATCAACTTGATGTCAAATTATTATAAACAAGACTTCATAGAGTTACTGAATCAAACCTGGTAGGTACTAAAGAATTAAAGATGTCGATCCATAGCACCTCTTTCCAGTCCTGGTTTGGGGTAAACATGAACTTACTCAATTTTTGTCTTTTCCTTTGTTTTAGGATCCTTATTGCTACTATATGGGCTCATATTAGGAGAGAATTAGTATACTAATCAAACTATTGTTCACTTTTATGACGTGTGTGTGAAGAATAAAGTTTGTAAAAAATAGCATCAAATGCGACTATTTGAAAAATTTCACCCCACTTTATAAGTAATTACTCACCATTTTGTGGAAGCACAATGCCCCACTTCTAGTAAAGATTGCCTTGCTCCTGTATTTTTCCTAATACATGCGAATTCACATTTGTATATGAACAAGGATACTTGCAACAGTCTCAACCACTGTCTTTGGAAAACAGAAAACATAAAGTAAGGATAAATTAGTGCTTAGGACAAAGTTAATGCCATGGCAAATGTAGATACAGTGTAGTTATAAGAGTTCCAAACTAGGCATGAAGGAAGGTAGGTTCAAATTCCCAAGTAGCCATAAAGTTCACTTGATGATCTTCCCTTAGTCATCTTCTCTCAGTCTAATCAACATTACAAGATTGTTGTAAAGTTAAAATGGGGGACAGAACTTTGCATACTATTCTATCTTTCTTGGAGAAATGTTCATGAACATTTCAAGCGCTCAGGGAAAAATGCACACAATCCGGTTTCTGTGAGGGCAGGGAAAGTAATCCATTTAGTGGGCAGGAAACTGTCACTGGATAGGTGGAATAGCCGGGCAGGCAGAAGATTGGGAACCGATCCTCAGAGATAGGGAAACTTAGGGTCCAGGAATCCAGAGGCTAGGAGGTATCATAGCTCCTAGCATACAAGGATGAAGCAGACTCTAAAAACAAGAACCAAAGGAAGGAAGGTGCTGACTGAATTTTAATATTTATTTTAACTTAGCCAATTCTTGGCTATGGACTTTTAATAGGAAGAGCTTTGCTAAATAACAATAACTCTTAAATTACTTGGAGGTGAAAGCACACTTTGCATTGCCCCAATTCTTGTTTCCATAGAACTTTGTGGTTACTTTACTATGTATGCTTATCAATTATGTACCCTGCCTAACTTCATTGGAAAGACAAGTCTTCTGTTTTGATAGCAACTCTGTAATTAGCCAGGAATTTGATGGCTGCATTCATATGTTGAACTTGTGGGAAGGTGCGGGAGGTGTGGGAAGGTATGGGAGGTGTGGGAAGGAAAATGAACTATTAGGAGAAAACCTCCCATAAGATAAGAATGCATGAAATCTAGAAAATCTAATCTAAGAAAGCAAGCTGGCTGGACAAAGGATATGTACAGCAAGGAACATGCAAACAATTGGGAATGAGGGTCCACCTGGGCACACTGAAGGCAAATGGCATCTTTGTGTGCACAACCACAAAATGAACAAATGTGGATTAAGAACCACTTCAAATGATAACAGAAATACCCATGAGGAAAATGTTTTCCATTGAATATTCCCAGTCACTACCCAGGTAGTAGGAAGCTTCTAAGCTGCACTATTGATTGATTGTATGCGTTATATTTATATCCCCACATCTTTCCTTTCAAGGAACAAAAGGCAGCTTGCCTATTTTTCTTTCTCCCCTTCATCTCATGTTGTTTTAGGGGGAAAATCAGTAATCAAGGTGTCCCCCCTTCTCTTTTGGATTGAACCATAATAGCCTGCTAGGTGGCAGGTTTTACTGGTGACTTTTTCCACATCAGATGTGTTGACTCCGTACATATTTAATGAATGTTGAACCAGTATTTATTGATTAGGCCCATTTGCAATTAAACTGATACACAAAAGACCTTAGTTCCAGAACCTTCCCTTATAAAATGGAAGCTTTGTCTTGGGTGTGGATCATTCTGTTGTGTTTCATGTTGTGTAATGGCAGGCCAAATAATTAAAAGGAAAATCTAACCAAGTGAGTCATTTCTCAGGAACATTATAGGATCGTTGTGTTAAGGTTCATTGGCTGATCATTCATCCATATTGTTGTACTTTGAACTTCAAAGCCTGTTTTTATCACAATGAAGGCATCACTTGAAGCTGGGCCCAAGTATCTGATCAAGGAACGTTCAAGCATTTCTATCAAAGACTTAAATTTTGCAGTTTATTCATTTTTCTCTAGGCTGCTGTCCTGGAACAAATTATTCCATGTCTCTGGGACCAGAAGGTTAGCTTCTGCCTCCCATGCAGGCTGAATGAAAACCTTAGACTCTCCTTTTTAGACAATACTGAATTTAGTACCAGCTGGCATAAGGCAGGGAAATTCAGTGGATCCCAGGTCCAGAACCTTTTTTCAGAGCATGGGAATAATATCTTTTGGTGAAGCACCACGGTAACTGATGGCTCTTCACTGGCATAAATGTATGAGGTGATAATGAGGTTTTCAGGTTATACTACTATGAATGACAGAAAATGAGGAAAGAAATTAAGCAGAGGCTGGATACTTCTTTTTTCTTTCTTGATGTAGGTTCCTACTTTACTCTGACAATTTAAATGGTTACAATTCTTTGCAAGATTGTCTGTGGGCTTTTCTACATGAGGCAGTTATATACTTGTGATCCCTCACTCATGGAAGTTTGTGGGGCCTTGGAGTGATGTTGTTGTCCTCCAGGGCCTCTCCCATGTTTTCCAGCATATTAATTTTTTGGAGCAAGGAAAACAAGCTATTAAAATTCAGATTGCAACAAACTGGGCCAAAAGCTTTGTGAAAAGTTGCACATCTGCTATAGTGCAGCTATTCCTTGAACTTGGTTGACAGAATATATAGGAAAGCAGAGAAATACGAAACTGGGGAGCGGGGGACAGGTAAAAGTTACATTTTTCTTTCTGCAATGAAAATGAAAGAAGAAGCTTCAGCAGCTTTATTTTATTTATTTTATTTCTACACTACCCAACAGCAGCTTAAATCCCTCATGTAGAGTAGCCTTGTGCTTCTAATGAAAAGCTGAACTTTTTATTTCAGTTGGCCAAATATCTTTTTTTAAGGCTTAAGATTGCTTGTTGAAGCTTGTGACTTACACGTTGAACCTATGCAGTCTGAAATTAGCACCACTGAACTGAATTCAAGGGAGCATTCCCAGGTACCTATGCATAATATTGTACCTGGGCCCCATAAACCCAATTGTGGGATCTTATTAATAGTTTGTAATAGAATGTTAAGCCAGCATGTTAGTTCCTTTGAATATGAATAATAGAAAGGCAGGTGTGTGTGTGGTTTTCCCTCACTCCAGGGGATGTGATTACAAAGAGCGCCTGTACTTCAGACTTGCCACTTCACCACTGGTCTGCCTTATGGGGAAAACCGTCTTGCCAGCCATACTCGTTTTCCTTGCTGGCCGCCTATTTCAAATGCCTCATTAACCCCATATGTTTCTTAAAATTCAACAGCTGCTTAGAAAAACTAGCATCCCCTTCTCAAGGAAATAACAGAGCACTAAATGAATGCTACAATCACCGGAAGGTTCTCTTTCGCTTAGATTTGCTTTCATCCTAACTCTTTCCTCTTGAACTGTGTACACACTGATTTTTCAATGTTTCCTCCTCCTTTATAGGTGTTGGGCTGTAGAAAGTGTTTGCTTGCTCCACCCTCCTATTGCCTCTCAGTTCCACACTCTCCACCTGACATTTAGGCTTTAAGACCTGTTGTGCCCTTGCACCTTGCAGGAAGCCCAGCACAATGGCAAGTGTGGCATTCAAACTGGTCAGGGAGAAGGAGGCTTTAGAAGGCCTGGGGTCAAATCGCAATGCAGTGAAATACTTAAAACAGGATTTTGAGGCTCTGAGGAAGCAGTGCTTGCAGTCTGGTACTCTCTTCAAAGATGAAGAATTCCCCGCTTGCCCTTCTGCTCTTGGTTATAATGTTTTGGGGCCTTATTCTCCACAGACTCAAGGCATTATTTGGAAACGACCAACGGTAAGCTTGCTACATTATTTTATTACTAAAGTATCTTCTTCAAACTGCTCAGTAGCAGTAATATCATACCACTTCTTTGTATCCTGGGAAAGGTTCAATTTAATATTTCTGTGACAGCCTCTACTGGACCGTGCAGACGTCATCAAGAATGAAAAGGCTTAGGTTTCTTTCTAGAGAGTTTTCCCTCTGGAGACTCATTCTAAAATAGAAGGATCTGAAACAGAAGTGTCTAAAATCAGGAACATTACTGGAATGGCAGTGTCTGAATTAAGGGGCAGACATTTATATCATGCAAGAATGTGAAGTGTGAAAGAGACATCCCTTTTGTTCTTTGGACTGTGACAGTCTAGAATAAGGGACATCTGGCAATGTTCACTTGGAGGAGGTCTGGAAATGTATTCTTTGAGGATTTCCTTCCACTCAGTGCCAATTTTTGAGGTTTCAATAGGTTCAGGCTTTGCAGTGCTGATTTTAGAGGTATAAATATTTTCAGAGGCATATTTGACAACACGTATTTTCAAAGCAGGATTGATGAACTTGCTTCATCTGGTTCTATGTTATTTTTGTAGCCTTTTTTGAACATAATTCCATTCTGTTTTCTTTTGGCATTAACTTGTGAGTTTAAAACAATCTGAAACAAACAAGCAAAAATCCCAAAACCCAACCGCAGTGTGCTATTCCATTTAAGTTTAGAGAGAAAAAAAGTACAATGCTCCGCATTCCCAGCCAGCTGAGGAATATAGCTAAATGTTTCTCTTAGCATATGTGTATAAAAAAGGATTTTCTTTCCAAGGAGCAATGCAGATTTCCTCTCAATAAACATATTTATTTGTTTTCATCCATTTAAATTGCCAAGAACTGCATGGTAATGTTCAGAGAAATGTGAAATCCAATAGATGAGTTCAGAAACATAGATTAGTCGAAGAGCTGCATTGTAAGTTGCTTTGTATTCATGCAGAAATGAAAAAAATATCAGCTTCTTCCTTATCCCTGTTCAAAGCAAATCATAAAAGAAGAAGACGTAGCTTCAAAAACCAATCTCTCTTTAATAATAGTAGTCATTACCATTTTTGGAAAATACAAATGCAATAAAAATTAACTTCTCCCCACTTTTTAATTCTCACCCTTTTTATTAAAAGTTTAATTTCATTGGTGTTCCCTTTCGTATCCCAGTTGCGGCTCATACAGTTTCTTTCCAGGTGTATAATACAAGCAGTATACAAGCATGGGGGCAGTGACTCCTCAACTCAGGGAATTTTTTGCAGCCCAGCTGCAAAAGGCAGCAAATGTTGGTGGGCTATTTAACAAATTTTAACTCTATAAATCTAAGCATACAACCTACTCAACACACATTTTTATTTTTTAAAACACTTCTCTGCCCACATCCTTGTCAAAAACCGTGCTGTGTTATGAGAAGCATATGTTCTCAACTAGGACTTTGTTAGAATGTTTGATAATCTGGCCCTAATAAAAAAAAGTATCGTAGTCTTTGGTGTTAGAAAAAGTGCAAGTACAAATATTAGAGAGGCACAAGATTGGCCTTTAAGTTGTCATGAGTCATTCATAAAAAAGTTTCTGCCATTAGAATGTAAGAAGAACTATGTTAGCTCAGACCTGGAGACCATCTGGCCCAGCATTCTGTTCACACACCAGCCAACCGGAAGCCCATGGGAAACCCATAAACGGGGGCATGAGTGCAACACCCATTACAAGCCACAAAATCCCGCTGCTTAGAATCACAGAATAGTAGATGTTGAGAGTATGAAAGATGGCTGCTTTGGGCACTTATTCTCAAAGGATGCTCGCTCAGCTGCAGAACAGAATCAGAATCTGAACCAGAAGGAAAAAGAGGGGGAGAAGGGGGGCTGGGAATCCCAAGACACTGAGATTAAAGAAGTGGAGACTCCCCAGGTGGCCAGGCAGTCTCTGGGAATAACCAAGATGTAGACCTGGCAGGAGGGGACTTCCTGGGGAGCAGGGGAGTTACTCAGACTCAGACACGGCAGGGCACTTAAAAAAATTAAATTTGTATAAAAGCTGCCCCATTAGTATTATGCTCTTTAGGTGGAAATTACAATTGACCCCATAATGCAACATGGGCAGAGGAGAGCAACCCAATTAGAGGACGGGCATGTAGCCAGGAGGCGTGCTTGTTTTCAGAAGGCCCCTCCCAGGCATGCTAATACTGGGGTCCAGGCATACTCATATGGATAGTTCCTAGTGGTGAACATTAGATTTGGGTTGAACAAACCACTCTGTACATGCTCAGAGATTCAGTCTGGGTGCTTTGTGTTTTTTGGTCAATAAAGATCATTTTGCAATAAAAAGGTCTGTCATTTTGAATGTGTGAAGGAGGAGTCTCAGCCCCCAACAGCAGAAAGGGTTGGGAGGTGCCAGAGGACCATTGGGCCCAACCCGCTGCCCAGTGTAGTGCAACATCCCTCTCAGATGCTGCCCAGTGGCATCTCGAATGGCTCTAGTGTGGGAGAGCCCACAACCACTCCAGGTAAGTGGTTCGATTGTTGTACTGCTCAGGAAGTTCTTCCTGATGTTCAGCTGGAAACTGACTTTCTGTAATTTATTCCATGGCCTGCGCTCTGGGATGATCAAGAAGAGATCCTGGCCTTCCTTGTTGTGGCAACCTATCAAAAACTTGAACAGTGCTATCATACTGGTCTTCTTTTCTTGAGGCTAAGCATGCCCAGTTCTTTCAATCTGTCCTCATGGCGTTTAGTTTCCAGTCTGGGGATCATCCTTGTTGCCCTCCTCTGAACCCTTTCCTGCTTGTCTGCATCTTTCTCAAACTGTGGTACCCAAAACTGGACCTTGTACTCCAGATGAGGTCTAACCAGTGTTGAGTAAAGGGAAACTAGTGCTTCACTTTATTAAAAATAGCACCCGCTAAACTAGTAACTTGAAACTTGGCACCCAGGAGTTCAGTGGTGAGGTCTCCCATTATATCCAAAATGTCTAACCTAAGACAAGTTTCCACAGTTATGGCAAGCTGACATCTTCATTCCAAGCTAAAGCTTGGGAGTTATCATACAGTTGAATCTTCACTTTCGTGCATTTACCTTTTGCAGGTTTGATCATTTGTGAGTTTTCCATCAATAATTAAATTGGATTTTTTTGGATTTTGTGGCCTGTTGTGGAAAATTGTCTTCACCATAGAGAAGGAGGAAGGGAAAGGAGAAAGAGCCACCAAAGCATCATCATAGAGAGACACGAAGTGAAAGGGGAGAGAGGGAGGCCTCCAAAGTTTGCCTTCTTGCCCCACCCATCTGGAGAGGAAATCCCTCTGGAATTTCCTTGGTGCAAAGAGGAGACACTGTTGAGTGAAAGGCAGAGCAGTGAATAAGAATATAAGAATGTAACAAATGAAGAAGAAGAGCCCTGCTGGAACAGACCAAGGCCTGAGACTGTGAGGGAGAAACAATCCAGTACACATGTGGTCAACAGTATTAAGAGTTAAGCTTTTGGGGAGGGGGTAGAGATAGTCATGGTTTTCCCACTTCTGTGAAGGTCCTGGACCCCTAACCCCTATGAATGTGGAGGGCTGACTGTATATTTCTTTCAAATTTGGATGAAAACCTCTTATGTGTACTATGCATCCTCATTGAGAGGATGTGCCAGAACTACAGTGGAGTCCTGTGCAGTGCTTCAAACATTATTAAGGTTCTTCTTCCACCTGAAAGTCTTCAGCTGCAAACAACTGCTGGCATGCCCAGCTCTAGTATAAAACTAGAATGTTTTTAATACTACAGTGCTTTCTAAGAAGAAGTTTCTACATGCCATGCCTATTCCCTTTGGTCGGACATGACTTTGCGACTAACAACATGGAATGTTATGTCACATGGTGATGCTATAATTGGATTATCCAATGGATTCCATCCCCAGTCAGATTCCTTGTATATCATTAGTCACATGTAATCTATGGGGGAAATGTGCAGTTCCAGTCAGTGTTTTAAATTATAGTATTTTTCTATTAGTTTTCTCCTGCTAAGCTTGCATAAAATTACAGAAGATAATAATAAAAATGGTCCTCAAGTCCATGGAATTTGTGCAAGTTGAGAAAAGCAAGTCTACTGAGGAATCTGTAGATTGGATCCATAGAAACCTGAACTCATTTGAGTCTGTTGCAGATTTCTTTGACATTCCTACACCCCATCTGCTCTGGTCCCAGTGGTTATGATTGCTCTTCTGCACCTCCTTCTGAGAAGACCAGGACAAAAGGCTTTGTAACTCTTTATTATGTTAAACCTGGCCAGCTAGGCAGCTTTGCAAAGCCATGGAAGAGTGATGCAGAAGTAAGTAACAGAAGAAGCAAATGAAATTAAGATACTGGCCATTGGGGAAATGCATCGTAATGATAAGAAATTGATTCCAAACTCTCCTTCCAAACTGAAAAGAGCAAACCACACCTGTAAGGCAGATGCTCTTGCTTAAGCGCCAATTGCTTGCAGCATCTGGTGTTTCTCAGCTGGTCTGCCCTCTCGCTCTTAATCTGATGTTGTATGCTCAGATTAATGATAGTAGGTCCACCCCCTCCAGATTAGCATGCCCGCTAAATTTTCCCACAGAAGTCGAAACAGTCTGCTTCTCAGTGATGGCCTGGCTTATTTCTGGGCCCGCTGGCTTTAGAATTTCTGCTGTAAATTCTGACTCTTCCTCCTTGTCTGAGCCAGAATCTGGTTCAACAGCCTCTGAAAACATTTGTATGGGAAGAATGGGCCCAATCCTCACACCAGTCTGTATTACTACCATGCTTTGAATTTACATTTCCAAAAGGGCATCCACTCCTAAAACAAATTGTAGGCATAGTGGGAAAGGGGTTAAAGACCTATGTACATCCTCAGGGTCCTGATTCATAAGAGGTCCTATAACTGTAATTATTATTAGAAGAAAAAAGCAGTAACATGTAAGTTCTTAAAGAAACATGCAGTTTTACCTTAAAAAATTGGAAGGGGTGGCGATTGAATACACAGGTGGGAGACCAGGAA